TTATATTATCTCGTTGCATATAATCTTGAGTTAGCTGACATATTTAGGAATGGAAAGTTAGGCGGGAAAATTTTTAACCATAGAGTGACATGTGTCAAGGTGTAGCTTGAGTGCCCTCTGTAAAAGTATAATTATTAAAGATTTCTTTATTTGTTCGTCTGCCGAGGGTTGAAGATTTAGGGCTTCGTAATCTTCGGAAGTATCTAGAATATCATATGAGTATTTTCACTCAAACATTATTCAATAGTGGATTTCAAGCCGAATTAGTGCTAATTCACATATTGTATTGCTTCGGATGAAGTTTTTTGTTTAGGTGATCGTTGATTGAATCTGTGATGTAATTAGTTCTAAGGTGGTTTGTACTTGTGTTGGAATTTTAGATTTCCTTAGCTATCTTTTATTAATGAAATCTTTTTTTTTTTTTTTTTTTTTTTTTTTAAGCTAGAGTTGGATTTGCACATCTGCCGAGACACATCTTTGACCATTAATATCTTTAATTAGAGGTTAGTAAAAATTATGAAAAAAATAATTTATAAAAGTAGAATTTATGACTAATGCAACAACATTTTATAAGATCATATATATATATATATATATATATATATATATATATATATATATATTATATTGGTAAAAAAATTAAGTCAATGATAACCTATGAATAGTGAAATATTCCAACTTTAGCTTATAAAAAAAACGGAGGGAGTACAAAATTAGGGTGTTGAGTGAATGGAAAATGGATATGCATAGCAAGAGATCCAAACCCGATAGAAAGATAACAAATTGGTGGGTCAAGTATTATTGAAAAAAGGACTAATCTGAAGTTGCTTTCTTCCAATTTACTACGAGTAGCATTGTTTGAGTGACCTGTAGTACAGTAGCATTCCGTAGTATAATATCGCTTTGATTACCTCATTACTTTCTTACTCTTTCTCTCTCCTCTAAATTACTCTCTCTTCTCACTCATTCATTCTCAGATACTCTCTGCACATCCCCACCTGAAGCATAAACCCTGAAGATTCATACTACTTTTTATCAGGTAATTTCATTTCATTTCTGGGATCTCTTCTTTTTTATGAATTAAAGATCTGTTTTTTTGTTTGATTAAATTTGTTGATCTCATACCCAGTAATTTTATATTTGTTAATCTGCATTTTGTTATTCTTAATTTGGTTTCTTCTTCAAGTTGAAGTTCCTTCAATGGATCCCTTTCTCGTTGTTCAATCTCACCCCCTCTTTTGGGTTTCCTTTATTCTTTTCCTTTTTTTCCTTTTCTGATTTCATTTTATTTTTTTGTTTTTTTTACTTATTTGTCTCCTAATTTCTGTTTATTGGCATGAAATTAAAATTGAATTTGACTGTTTTTTCCTAAACTGTAGATGAATTGAAGATATATGTATGTATATATATCTGTCTATGAGTGTGATTTTTGGTGATTTCATTCTATTTTACTAAAATAAAAAATAAAAAAATTGCATTATGAATCAGTCCATGCAGCAAAACCTCATATAATTTCCATAGAATAAGATTAATTATCTTGTTTGATTGTGGGTTTTGTGCTTTCTTAATTGGATAGGAGGTGGATTATGGGAGCTACTACTGTCATTTTCAGAAGAATGGGTGTTGAACCCAGATTCAATTGCATTTGTATACCTTCACTTTGATGTTTCAACCCTTTCTTCCTTCCTAACTTCCTATGGCTTCCAATAATGCTATTAAAGCTTCGTCTGATCGCCAACATAGACTAGGGCGTTCGGCCTTTCCTTCCCAGGTTTCTGCCTCCACCAAATCTAAACCCAAATTCACTGACCACTTTGCGAACTCACTGCAGATTGCCTCCAAGCACCCTGATAAATCTAAACCCACCAACCAAAATGCATCCCTCAATTTGTTGTCCGGTGTTGAGCCCTCTTTGGCTGGCATAGATCCTGTTGAGAATGAAGCTAGGATTTTGGAGGATTTATCCACTGATCATGAGAAGAAAACATCAGAATATGGAAGTATCAAAGACAGTTCAGTGTCTGCTAAATTTAGTGATGGAACAAGCAGCCTTGCTAAGACAAGTGGAAGTGCCAAAACAAGTGGCCGGCTTGATTTTGTTGAAAGTGGCAAGAGTAGTTTGTGTAGAGGAAGCACTAGCACCGATGTTAGTGATGAGAGCAGTTGCAGCAGCTTTAGTAGCAGCATTAGCAAGCCTCACAAGGGGAATGATGTCAGATGGGAGGCTATTCAAATAGTCCGTGCGAGAGATGGAATGTTGGGGTTGAGCCACTTTAGACTGCTCAAAAGGTTGGGATGCGGGGATATTGGTAGTGTGTACCTTGCTGAGCTGAGTGGAACTAAGTGTTACTTTGCCATGAAGGTAATGGACAAAGCATCTTTGGCTAGTCGCAAGAAGTTACTACGAGCTCAGACAGAGAGAGAGATTCTTCAATCTCTGGACCACCCTTTCCTTCCTACTCTGTATACCCACTTTGAGACCGATAAATTCTCATGCTTGGTAATGGAATTCTGCCCGGGTGGAGATTTGCACACTCTTAGGCAGAGGCAGCCAGGGAAATATTTTACTGAACAGGCAGTAAAGTAAGATTACCTACAGCTCAAGTACTAATTATACTTTGTACATGGTGTCATTTTTCTTGTTAATTGTTCTGTCTATCTATCTTTACCATTGATCTTTTGGATTTCTTTGTGGTATATCTTTGCAAGGACGGATAATTTTTTCTACTTGACATGTTATTGTTCGTTTGTTCACTGAATATGTCTGAACTGAATCACATTTCAAGATCTTAAATTTATTCATTCCACAATCTGATATTGGCAAGCTAACTTAGAGAGCTGCCCGATTTTCCCTGTGCTGCAACGGTAGAGGATTGAGACTCCATGGTACAATTCTGTGCTTAATCACATTTTGCTGTTGTTGACCAGTTACATCTCTGAAGGTTCAATGAATATAATTCATAATTTTGGTAATGAGGGTTCCTTGTATGGTGTGTTTGCTGGTGCTAAGCCTTGCACCACTAATACTTAAGATATCTAAGGCACTGAGTTTGTTCTCCAGTGGCTTGTACTCTTGTAGGAACTCTTGTCAATATGAGATGCAAGCAATACCAGCATTGTGTTCTGTGCTTCAACTTTTGATTAGGAAAGATTGACCTTCATCATTGTGTCACATGGGCGTATAATTTTTTTCAAAATGTGATGCAACCACGCTGACTTCTGTTTTGCAATCAACTCTTGCAGATTTTATGTAGCAGAAGTCCTCCTGTCGCTGGAGTATCTTCACATGCTTGGGATTGTCTATCGTGATCTTAAGCCTGAGAACGTCCTTGTGAGAGAAGATGGACACATAATGCTCTCAGACTTTGATCTATCTCTTCGTTGTGCTGTGAGTCCAACACTAGTGAAGTCATCATCAAACGAGACGGAGCCATTGCGAAAAGACCAAGGTTACTGTGTTCAGCCAGCTTGTATTGAGCCTTCCTGCATTCAACCTTCATGTGTTGCGCCGACAACATGCTTCTCGCCACGTTTTTTTACAAGTAGGTCCAAGAAAGATAAGAAGGCAAAGAATGAAATTGGAAACCAAGTGAATCCACTGCCTGAGCTTATGGCAGAGCCAACCAGTGCCAGATCAATGTCTTTTGTTGGTACCCATGAGTACTTGGCTCCCGAAATCATCAAAGGGGAAGGTCATGGAAGTGCAGTCGACTGGTGGACGTTTGGGATCTTTCTTTATGAGCTGTTATTCGGAAGAACTCCTTTCAAGGGTTCAGGGAACCGTGCTACTCTGTTCAATGTTGTGGGGCAACCTCTAAGATTTCCTGAATCCCCAGCTGTAAGTTTTGCAGGCAGGGATCTCATAAAGGGGTTGCTTGTGAAAGAACCACTGCATAGGTTGGCATACAAAAGAGGGGCAACAGAGATTAAGCAACACCCATTTTTTGAAGGTGTGAACTGGGCACTAATACGGTGTGCTACACCTCCTGAGATACCGAAGCCTGTTGTTATTGAAAAGGCAGCAGCTCCTCCTCCTCATGAAAAAGCTGATCTTGCTATGAGGGCATCTGATCAAAAGGGTTCTGACAATTATCTTGAATTTGATTTCTTCTGAGGTTGCAATCTTTGTTCCAATTTTCTTCTTCTTTTTTTTTTTTTTTTTTTTTTTTTTTTTTTTCCATAAATGTTTCGCATTCTGCTGGATTAGGAGAACTATTGCCAAAAAGATTTGATCTTTATAATTATCTGGTGAGCACAAATTGGGAGAAATGCGGTGGAGTTGGAGTGCCCCTGTACTGAGGAGGCAGAAGCAGATATGGTTGCTATATGCTGATCCAGGCCTGCAATGGCTGTAACTGGTTTTTGCCTGTAATGTATTTATGTTAAAACTAATGTATTGGGTGCGGTGTAAACTCTCCAAATACTCGAAAGAGAGGTAAAATGTATATGTATCTTAAAATGTGCTCCATTTGTTTCAGAGCTTTTTATTTTTCAAAAGTATTTACCCTACTCGTTGCACGTAACATTTTTATTAAAGTCGGATACATGTAGTCATTGTGGAGTAAATTAGCCATTGCTATTACTAGTAGATACTTGCTACTCTCTTGAAACCATAAACTCATGAAGAGAGTGACCCATAAGGGTCATTATCCAAAATTTGTTGGATGAAATTCTTCTTTATGTAAACTCTAGGTCACACTCTTTGAAAGATGTCTTCTTTTTTTAAAAGATTAATTTATATAAAATGATCTTTATTAAGAAGGATGAATAAAAATGGTAGTGTATATAAAAAGTTAGAATTATCTTTTATTAAACAACATAATTGCACATGCTAAAGAATCAAATTTTCCTGCTGGCTGTACTGCACCAAGGCAAGGGTGACTACATGTGCATGATTAAGGACTAAAGTAACATAATTCTGTATTGTTAAAGGGCTGGGAGTCATAATTAGGGTCTAAAGTCAGTAGATCAAAGTAGGATTCGGAGTATTTATTAAAGACATTTAAATAAGTACATATTACTTGATATTATTATTGCATCTTTGTCGGATTAAATGTCTCCTAAATGGAATTATTGTATGTTGGTCCAGATATACAATAGTACTCCGCAGCAGAGTACAGATACAACAACTTTAAAAGTGAAGTGAACTACTCAAGTGTGAGGTTGCATATAATCTTTACAAGTCACAACTCTCGGGGTGGAACGGCGGCCAAGTGGGAAACAGGAAGGTCATATTTGCAAAAAATAATAATAATGAAAAAATGCGGTGAGCGTGGATCGAACACGCGACCTTCAGATCTTCAGTCTGACGCTCTCCCAACTGAGCTATCCCCGCTTGTTGTATTCACCCTCCTACGTAAATAAAAGATTCAACCTTTAAAGCAACAAGAAAAGGAGCTGTGGGACGTAGGAGGCTGCTGTTGCTGCTCGTCAAATTGATTACGGCCGTCACTAGAGGCAGCTATTGGAGAAGAAGTGGTATTTGAATGCAGATGATCTTCAGAAGTTCGATAATACTCCGACATGTTCAGTTTTTTGCCTTGACATACGATTGTGAGCTCGCACCCCTCATCTGCATTTTGCCTTATCTGATCTGCTACTGTCGCACTTCCTTTTCCTGCTTTCAGTTTCCTGTTAAATCACACCATGCACCAATCTTTACTTTCATTTTTGTAAAAAATTTATACTCATTCTTTTACAGACATACTCTTAATTCCTATAATGTATGTACTAAATCCGTTTTCCTTGACAAATATAATGCTCCCTATATATATATATATATATATATATATATATATATATATATATATATATATATATATATATATATATATATATATATATATATATATTTTAATTAAGCGCCTCACATGCAGTAGGCTTCGATTAGTTATGGCCAATGCTTATAAGTTTAACTAGTTATAATCTTGCTTTATATTTAGTTGGTTTCTGTAATACCTCAAGTTGGACTTGGACATTCCTACAACCAATTGGCGAATGTTGAGAACAGAAATCAACTCCACAATAGCATTTGCCACGAAATCACTCTCGATCAGTATAGTCTCTACCTGTACCTGTACATGTTCATTGTTTAAATTAGTAAGTAATTCTTGTTAGATACATGCATTACTGCTAATTAGCCTAGCTAATACATATGCTGGCCTAAGAGCACTTAACTAAATCTAAGTTTATGGGATTAGCATTCATGGATTACCCGATGTGGAGTGCAGATATCGATGTACTTGGTAAGTAATCCCCGCCTCTTCCTGGTATCCTCCACCATGTAACTCTCCACAAGGTCTGGACTCACTTGAGTCTTTGGTACCACCCCTCCTCCAACTGCAATCTCTCTTTATTAGCAAAATGCATGTATTATCATATGCTAATTCCCAATTCCTAAAAGATAAATATGTTATGTACATATAATTTACTGTATGCCATCAATATCCCCAATATATAATTTTAGGTTCCAGATTCTCTTAAACCATATTTCATTTAATTTAATATAGCCAAGTAAAGGGAGCTAATAAATTATTCATTAAGATTTGTAATTATACGAAGTAGTTATTAGAGAAAAAAAACTGAAGGATATGGCAAGCCAGTTAAGATTAAGAATTAACGAAGAAATGTGTATAAAAGAATAGTAGTATAGTTAAGGAGATGAGGTGTGTACTTACAAGGGCTTGGAATGAATTTGAGGTCAGAGAAGACGTGAATGAGATAAACAAGAGTAGTCCCAGGATGAACAGAATGCTTGAGGGTCCATAGAAGCGCACCATTGCTTGATTCACTCTTGCCCACCGCAACATATACCACATCATCAGATGATCTTCCACTGTTATTGTGGATATCAATAGAGAACAAACTTGTGGTATTAGTTATTATGCCACCTTCACTGATAGTAGTCAACTGCTGCCCTCCTGATCTCCCAATAAAGCTAGTTTTATTTTTATTAAGATTATTATTTTTTTGATGTGATGATGAAGATGATGCAACAAGAATCTCTTCATCTTCCTCCATTATCTCAATGATCTCGCTCACATCCCCAAAATAACCATCCGCAACTGCAGGAGCAGCACGATCATAATTGCTGTTGTGTATGGAATCAAAACGAGAGTAGTGATGATGGTCAACTGATACAGGGCTGGTGGCGGCTTTTGCAGTGGCATTGGCATCGCTGTCATCGGCCCTGCTAGGGGATGTTATACTTGTGATTTCCATAGACGAGCTTAAGGTTGAAGGTTCTGACACTACTTTAGTTTAATTTGTTTGATGAGATTGATCTTTGTTTTTATATTCTGGCCTGACTCTAGCATAAGGGTTTCTAGTTTCTACCAACAAGATGTAATGATAATAATACTGTATTATTTATCCAAGTAACGAAGACTTATGAGGAGCAGGTATAGGAGAAGGCTAAGAAGGCGAATACTTGCTGATAATAAAATCTTATCCTATGATATGATATGCCTCTCTAATGTAGGGAAGGGCAGGAATCTGAAATTATAATTCCCTGTAACTATATTATATTTCAAAGTTTTGATATACTCTGAATGTCTGATCAAGGGAGTTAGATGGTGCCGACTCTGTTGGTGCTGACTTTGTTGCTCTTCAATTCCGTGGCCTGAAATATTTGATCAAGAGAGTACAATTAACTCTTTTAAGTTGTTGAATATTCTCAATCCCTTCCTTAGCAACATATAGGTCTCTATTAACGTGGGCCTTGCTAGTGTGATTTTTTTCTTAATTCTACCTTTACTATCATTATCAGCTGCTAGTCTACCAGTGCCTGTTACGGACTAAAGGCTAGACAAAATTGTTATTTCCCATTCCCTTGGTGTCTCGGTTACAAACTTACAACCAAATTATTCAAACCTGAATGCGTCGTGGTACTATAATTACTACGGAGTACTTCCTATTGCATTAGCGTTTATAGGTGGTGTTTGTTTTTTTTTTTTTTTTCTTTATTTTTATGTTACCAGTTGCATTGTTACTTGAAACAGTCCAGCATAAGGTACCTGTAGTTGCATAATATGTAGTCTAGTGTCATGGATAGTTTTTTTTTTTTTTTTTTTTTTTTTTTTCTTTTTTTTTTCTAGTGAGAAAAATCCCTGAAGGAAAAGTCTCAAGGCCAGAAATCTGCATGTCAATATTCAAAAAAGGAATATGCGAATACGTGAGAGAATCACGGAAAACTATTTCCAAAGAATTCGTCATGACATGACAGCTACATATACTCCTAATTTAATATATTGTGTTACTACTCTGTATAATGTGCAATATTATCTTATTACAAGGGTTTATTGTTTGTCCCTTACCTTCCTCACAAGTCACTAATATTAACTTAGAAATAGTAGGATACACATACAATTAAAAAAAAAAAAACATATTTACAACATACTTTGTGATTGAGTATATAAATCAATTATGGGCTTCAACCATCAGTTTAAACTTTTGATTGAGTTGGTCTTTCAACATGGTATTATAGCCATTTCAAACTCAAAGGACTCTCATATAAAGGGGCGTGATAGAATATATAAACTAATACTGGATTTCAACCATCACTTTAAGCTTTTGGTTAAGTTAATCCTTCAACACTTTGTTTCATGTGAAATATCAAGCTCATACTCCCTCCGTTCTTTGCTAAATTATTATATACGATGTATCTATAACATCATAAAATTTGAACTGTTGTCTTAAGCAATATTTATCTCTTTTTCATGTGATTCTAACAAGCTATCCACTTGGTCTAATAATTCGTCATTGCTTCACAAATTATATTATTTATTATGATAGTACAGAGTTGTGTTATTGTTCAAAAAGGATGAAATCCTCACAACATCCTGAAAGAGCTGTAACCTTGGATTACAAATTTTTATTAACGCCTCTATACTCTATAGCTACATCATCTAGCAGTCTTTACTCCAGCATTGTGATGTAAATAAACAGAAAATTTTCCATACACCTGCCTGAGGTCTCTGCAGAAGAAACTGAGATCACCCAAAACTGTTAAGAGTCCGAGTTATACAGAACTGGACCCTGACTCAACAGATGGTTCAAATGGAAATAACGATCAGGGTTCATGACCACTTAACGATGACAGCTCTCAAGGGAATGATGATTCGAGAAATTGATTGCTGCACCAAGAATATACCAGCTCCTCAATGGTGGGATCAGGTTGTAACATTGAAGCTACAAAAACCAACATCATTGGCTCAGTTTAAGAAACAGTTATACCAATGAAAACATAATCTCAATTGCAATATAGAGATCCTTCCCCAGCCATAAGCTACAACAATTTTTTTTTATTTTTTTATTTTTTTTTTTTTTTTTTTTTTTTTTGCTGTACAAGAACATTTTAATACAACGATGAGAGAACATGCAAATTCTATAATATTTTTGTCTGTAACATGAGCTTATGGGCAGGATATTGATACTAAAGGCAAATTTCAGAATTAGGTTCCTCTGTATCACTCTGAAGTGTCAATTCAGCTTCAGTTGTTTGATGGATTTGCTCTGGTTGATGCGATGCAGCTCCACTTCCAAAGCACTCTTTGCAGACTCTGCCATTTCAGCAGTCTTTAGAGCTTCCTCTTCCTTCATCTTTAGTTCTTCTATCTCCTTTGAAACAGCTTCATATTTTTTAGCTGCTTCCTTTTGGCTTGCCACTAGATCTTCTACCAGAGCCAAGTTTGCAGTTACTTTTATATAAGCTAACTTTTCAGATTCATCAACTTTCTCCATCAAAGTGTTGTAATCTTCAGTCGATAACTTAATCTTTCCACTGCTTTCAGAAGTAGATTCCTGAGCAGCCTCAGCTTTTTCAGAAAGAGCTTTAATCTCATCTTGTGCAGCTCTTTCTGCTGCTTTGGCTTCTTCTACTTCTTTCAATAAACTTGCTAGCTTATTTTCCATCTCTGCTATTGACTCTGTGATAGTTTTGGATTCTTGCTTCCGCTCCTCTATTTCCTTCTTCATCTCTTGAGTTCCTTGCCTAGCTCTCTCAGTTTCCAGTGTCAGTAGCTCAATCAATATGGCCGTATCATCAGAGACATCCGCTGCACTTGTTTTATTTACAACACCAGCTTCAAGTACATTCTTGTGATCGTCTACTTCGGCTTGAAGCTTGTTGACTAAAGCATCTATTTCCTTCTGCTTATGCTTCTGCTCTGCCAATTCTTTTCCAACATGTTCTAGCTCTTGCTCGAGGGATTCAACTGAATGTTGAACAGATGACTTCTCCTCTGCTATCTTCTCTAGTGATTTCTTAGCATTCTCAAGCTCAAAAGTTGTTCCTTTATGAGATTCTAAATAAGTAGCTCGGGATTTTGATAACTTTTCTTCAATATATAAAATTTCAGCTTTAGTTTCCACAAGTTTCAACTGCAGATTTTCATCCGACAGTAGAGATTGGTGTTCATTCTTCAGAGTGAGCAATTTATACTCCAACTCTTCCCTGGAAAGTTTATCAAAACATAGCTCCTCACGTTTATATGTTGAAAGCTTCTGGTGCTCCTCTTCAGTGTCTTTAGAAGAAGATTTGATTTTGGCTATTGCTTCCTGCATGCTAGAAATCTGCTTGGTGAGGTCACTGACTCTGTGCTGGTGAGCTTCTGCTGCCTCATCTGCTTTTTGTTTATCGCGTAAAGCAGCGGCTTTGGCTTCTAAAGTCATGTCATATTCCCTACGCACGCTGTTGAGTAGTTGTTTTGATGCATCAAGCTCCAAGATGGCAGCATTGTACTCCTCTCTGGTGGCATCCAGATCTTGTTGTACACTATCAACCACGTCTTGAGCATTAACGCTAGATGATATTGCTTCTTCAAGCTCCCTAGCCCTAACATTTAGAGCTTCTGAATTTTCAAGTACGGACTTCTTGGATTCATTGATGGATTTTAGTTTTTGTTTGAGTTCATCAAAAGTCCTTCGAGCCTTGTCAAGTTCAGGTATGATTTTATTTTCTCGGAGTCAGCTCCTCTCAGTTGCTCCTTCAGTTTATTCAGCTCAGTCAAAGCAATATGTAGCTGTGCCTCCTTATCTAATACTACCTGCTTAATTTCACGTATGAAATAGAATTAATAGTAAACAAATTGACATCAACTTTCTGGTATGACTATTAAATCAAAAATATACCTGTGCTTGAGGTTTGAAACTATTCTTGGTAACAAGAGGTTTGGCTTTAGGAGAGAACGATGATGATGCTTCAACAAAGAGACTGACAGCATCTTTGACAGATTGGAAAGGAGCTTTGGTATCAATCTCTCCTACTTCGACTGCCTTCGGGGAGCTTCCTATGGAGTTCTGTCGTGTCCTTGCTATGTTCATCATGTTAGGTAATTGAAGTACTTATTCAACTGGTAGATCAATTAATGATGCACCATAACTTTGTTTGCAACAACAAAAAATTGCAACCTGACATATGGTTGGCAACATCAGAATTTTGCATGCTACTCCAGATTATATGTTGTCCTTCTATCAATTAAATCTCAGTATTCATGTGAAATTTTTTGATGACTTCAATCACTCTGTTTTCTTAGGACACTTGGATCATAACAAAAAGCTTTAATGTCATATTCGTATAGGAGATCCTTACAGTTAAATAATATTATCAAGTAAATAATAATATACAAGTATGAAATTACACACTAGCTATATTTTTTTTTTGTTTTTTTTTTTGTTGAAAGTAAAAATCCCTTCATTGTATAAGAATTAAAGGGATTAAATTATACAGAGCATCTAAAAATTAAATCAAGGTTGTATTAGCACCAAAAAAAAAAAAATCTGAAAACAATATGTGCATGTTGAAATAAAATATAATCTAATTACATTGTTGGTAGAGATGAGCATACCTGAAGAGAAAAATAGGAGTTATGTATTGGAAGGCAATTAGCTTCAAGTTATCAATTTAGAAAGGGAGATAATACTATGGTAAAATTCTATGATCAATCTTCGTAACAACGTTGCTGAATGCCCAGAACTATTATTATGAATTCAAGTTAGAAGGCAAATGATGAATTAAAACTGAAATGCAAGAAAGAGATTAATCTGCAATAGAATGAAAATGAGAGAAAAAAAGTAGAAGAGAAGAGAGGACAAATAGGAGCCACACAATTAAAGAGGTTAACACGAACATTGCTCAACAAAGCCTACAATGCTGGACATTATATTACTATTTTTAGATGAGAGATGTGGTTTTGTGGATGTATGTTTGATAAAACTAAATAAATTTGTGTGATATAATCTCATCCAACTTCTTACCTAGCACTAAACTTAGTTCGTGCGCTTTGACCTTGTTTCTTATTAACATACTTGTCATAGAAACATAATGTAAAAAATAACAAACTATTAACTTGGTATTACAGAACTTCAGCTGTATTTTTGTGTTCTGTCACTCGTTGCAGATTGCTGAATGCTGATAGAAAAATCCAAAAAAAAAAAAGAAAAAGAAAAATAAAGCTAGCTCTGTATCATGGTTGTTACGCATGGTAATATTTTCATCTGGAGCATACTCATGGTATACAAGCTTCGAGAATGTTTTGGTTTTGTGTTAATATTAATCTTCCTAGAGATAGGAAGCCCGTACTCACCACAAGGGAAAACATATGGAATAAAAGGCAACATACGAGCAAATAAGCAGAAAATTGACAGAGTGAAGAAAATGTTCCCATTCAAAACCAGGTACATAATGTGATACAAGTAAGAACAAAAAAGCAGCTACATTATGCAATGTAAGTGAAAAGATAGGCAATTAGACAGTAACTATGTATGGGGAGTTTACATCCAGCCCATAGCACAACATCCCTCCAAGTAAAAAACATGAATGTTGGAAGGTTAAAGGACAAGCCTGAAGGTAAGGTTGATCCTGACAGCATCTAGTTTAGTACGTTTAGGCACGGAATGAATCCAATCCCTCTGAGTGTAACCTTTCATAACCAAAAGCGATCCATGTTTTAATAAAAAGGAATGCTGATCCTGATCAGCATTGTTGGTTGTCTTCAACCGCTTGCTTGCAGGTTCATTACTTGAATTCGCCTTTGACACTAGTAGAAATAACAGATCGGAGCAGACAGGCCGAAAAACACAGCATTGTAAAGTTAATTACGACTTACAAGACTAGTAGCAAACTAGCAATATATACAGTACACATACTAGCAGTACCTGATTTATTGGATTTTTTCTTCAAGAAAAAGTGACGTTCGCAACCAAAGGAAAGGGAAGCAATTAGAGGAGTGGGACCATAAAGAGGTTCATCATCAGAATGCCAAGAAACGTAGTCATTACCACAATTGTATCTATTCAAAAGCAAGCTATTGAAATGACTTCCAGGAACAGCATCTTCAACCTTGAAAATTTGTTTAACAAATTGTTCAATCAAACTATATTACAGTTAAGTAGCAGTTTTGATTAAAAGATAAAATGAGACGTACCGCTTGGAGAAGATGATTAAGGGGTGGGAATTGGTGCCAAGGGTAAGCATGAGGTTGATAGCCACTATATTTCAATTTGGAAACTCCCTCACTTGCAACATAGCAGCTTTCACGGGGCTGCAACCGTTTTTATCAGCTTTAGTTACAAGTAATGAGGGTGTGTAATCAGGTGATTCAGGTCCAATTAAGTATACATATAACATGAAAATCAGGGCTAACCACATCAATTTCTTGAGTACTAAGGTGTGTTCGGTTCACCTTAACAAAATAAATTTCAAAGACTAATTAAGGCTTATCAAATCGTATCAGGCGTACATATAACATGAAAATCTTTCCGGGCTATAACTGAACAATCTGTTCTTTTATATGCCCATGTACATTGGGCTATAACTGCATGTAAATACCGCCTTTTATTAAAACATGGGATTTAAAACCACCCTGCATTTGATTGCAAAACCTATGTCGTTTTGGAGCGTAATGGTCCATACGCCTCCACGAACCAGGGATTAAAGTCAATTTCAGGTAACCCGTGCTATTTAAATAAATTAATGAATAAAAAAATAAGGATATATACCTGGAGGCATGAACGGCCAAATACATGGATGGTAGGGCGAGTCCATGGAATATGATTGTTGAGGTATTCAAAGTATTTCCAGGCATCCTCGTACTCTAGAAATCTGGGGTAATATTCAACTTCACTTCCATTTCCTAATTCTATGATCTTACTTTTTATATTACTTTTCCGTATTTCTGACAACAACAATTCTCCTTCTCCTTCGACCCTTTTGCTGTTGCTTTTGTTCAGATTCACTGCATTTGAATCTGATTTTTCATTTTCACATTCTTTTGCTTTTGAGCTTTCCATTTTCTCAAAAAAAGGATTTTTCTGGAAAAAGAATCAACTTTGATTTGCCAATTTTATATACCACAACTGCTGTCAACAAACATGGGTTTATGTTACAAGGGTTAATAAGTTAATGATGGAGACCCAATTTCAATGTACAACAAGAATACGTTTTATAAGTTGTACTTCCTATTAAATTAAGATTAATTTTTGACAAGTTTCAAATAGGGATTAAATTTGTTTATATTAGTGAAAATCATACAATTTTAAAAGCATATACATGTAATTATAAACTAGGATGATAAGTGAACTTAAATGCAGAATTGTTTGCGGTTCAAAGCGCACAAATTTTTTTTTTCCAAGGCATCCACAAGCCCGCGTATAAACCAACATTAAACTACAGGTAATATTTTTTTTAATTTTCTTTATCAACTTTAACAATTTCGTTAATTTGTACTTAACGATATTTTAAGATATTAACAATTGAAGATATACGTTGACAAGCAAAAAAGTCAAAAAGTTACAATTAGGACTTTTAATGAAACATAAGGGTATGATTATGGTACATCTATAATTGTGAGCAATTCACATATTACACCCAATTTATAATTTATATCCTCTCACAAGCTCATGACGTTAACTATTACACATGGGGAGGATCGGAGGACTGTGGAAGGGCCTTAATGTAGGACGACTTCATGCAATATAACAGCAACAAAGAAACCTTAGCTACGAACTCACAGCTTATCACAAACATACACTGATGCACAGCGTACATGTTTTGATCAACTTTTTCCAGCAGACCCCTTCACTTCTCCATTTACCTAAATTGTAAATCACACGACCCACTACAACTACAAGCTTGTTCTTATACTCTAGCATACAATAATTTAATATTACAGCTCCCTCACTAATCATGTAACAATCACTACTCCTAGGCTCCTAGCTCAGCAATTATGACCATTCAAACAAAAACCCAACACCATACATCAAAGTTCTAGCTAGAGAGGGAATCCGGGTTAGGATTTTCTAACTTGAGTTTCAATTCAATTTCTCCAGATTCAACCCCACATAGCCTTAACCATAGCTCTTGAACAATTTCACCATCCACACAATTAATACAACTCTCTCTCACAAGACAGTTATCACTGTCCGGGATCACCTTTCTCAAAGTTGTTTCCCCTGAAGAAACCTTCAGGATCTGCTTTAGTCTTGCTGCTGATACAAGTGGTTGTATATTTACATGAGCATATCCCATCTTGTCATCTGCCTTGAACCGATCTTTGTCAAACACTTCCTGTACAACAATAGCCAACCCAAATTTATAAGGAAGTTTAACATGCTTACATCTGATTATATTTGACCCAAATCTAAGAGGTATAAACAGCCTGATATAGAAGTAATAAGGCAGTCATACTGTCTTTGTCGGTCATGTATCTTACTACATTACAATAAAGAACAATGCTCTTTTTCCTACAAAATCTAACTTGAGGCTGCCATAAGTCTGATTATGATAAAGACGGTTGTATTAAGCGTCCATATAGCCATATACGGGTGATCAACAAGCTAAGATTGATTAGACAAAGGAAAGGACAAAAGTTTATGAATTGTAAAGTCGTAAGCAAATCAATCAGTAAACAGCTTTTTAAAGTCATTCTTATCTCTTCAGTCAACAAGTAGACTAGTCAATAATCAACATTAGCTCCCAACTACTACATTATTGTAAGCATCTGTAATTCTGATGTACACAGGAAAACCACTTCCAAGTGCAACATAAGTTTCTCGCTTAATCAAGCAAGCTAAGGGCAAAACCACACTCTGCAAACATGAAAAGCAAAGACATAAAATGTAGAAAAAAAAAGAAGCAATACTTAAAACTAAATTACTCACCAAATTGAGAGTTCCAACAGAATCTGTGAGGGAAAAGGTAAGCTCTTCATTCCAAACAGGGTTTAGGCAGCTGTTAATAACCTTAGTCTTTGCAACCTGAAGAAAAAGAGCAACAATCTTCAAACTACGATACAAAACAAAGATACACCGAATTACTCTAATATGATATCAGGACAAATAAATGAATTATTTATAAGAATCATAGCTTAGAATCTAGATGATAGATATAATGCATTGTTAAAAAAGCGAAACCTGATCACCAAGCTTGAATTTGACATAAGGGTCACTGGTTTTGAAGTCCCTAACAACCAACCTCTTGCCTTGCACTACCACAACTTTGAGAATACCTGCAGGATTCGACATCTGCCCGAAAACGGTATCGTTAACTAACAATTCATAACAACAGACAAGATGTAGCAGAAATACATCCTAAATCATTCAGGAATAGATATGGCAGAAATACAACCTCAATCATTTAGAGGTCAAATACAAATACTCAATTGTAAAAACAAAAAAAAAACAACTTTTACACCACAGTTAGTTCAAATACTAAAATTGAATAAAAATAAAGGAATAAGTTGAACCAAAACCTTAGGAATGGCAAAAAAAGGTGAAATTAAAGAAAGAAAATCTTAACCTTGAGAAAAATCAAAGTTGGTGGATTGATGTAAATTCTTCTGTTGGCTGCGATGGAGATTGGGAGTGGAAAAACGAGTGAATTGGATTTCCATATAAACACAAAGAAACCCAACTATAATTAATTGTTAATTAGTGGTATTAATTATTAATGAAAGACATAAGTATGTTTGTCTGACCTCTTCCTTCATCATCCACTTCTTTGAGTTCCTACTTCCTACCCACCGTGTGCTGAAACCAACAAAAGTCAAGTCCACACTGCTAAATAGATTTTTTTTTTTTTAAATAAAATAAATAAAATGGAATGTAATAATGTGTCTCTCTACTCTCTAGTCTAAGGAAACTTTCTCAAATGGTGTCAAACTTTGGGACTTTTCTTCCATTGTCCTTCTTCACATAAATCAGGAATTTTTTATACTAGCCACGTGGATGATGCGATTATTATGGAATATATAATAGATAACTAGTATTTGGGCCTAGACGATGTCTCGGGTCATTACCTTTTTTCTTGTTAGTAAATTTGTTATACATATTAATATTTTGTATCATAAGGTAACATAAAATATCACATAATTTGGTGGTAAGATGTTCATCTTTAGAGTTAAAGGTTATGTGTTAAAATCTTATGGAGAACATTTTTTAAAAATATAAGTGCATGGCACATAGACGTTCTTAGGAACGCTTTTTAATATCTTAATATAGATTTTATAATATTCAATGTTTGATTTATTTTTACTCACATAAATATTATCAGTATAGTTCATTTTCTTATTGTCAATTAAAATTTGTTAATGTAGAGCTCGTATTTAGTATATATAGATAGATACATTTTAACTTTTAAATGTTGATGTAAGTATGTAATCCCTCTTATTTATAGTGAGATGCTTTGTGATAACCACAAAGAAAATAAAAAAGTAAATATTTTGAACTAAGCCATCAGTGATTGAATCAGGCAATGACCTTTAGGTAACAATTGGTAACCAAGGAACAAATTTTTTAATCATATTATGTACTCCGTATTAATATCTTTTTTAACACAAATAGAAGAGTTTATATATTAATTATATACTCCGTATTGTGTCTTGAAAGAGCCTACTCCGTATTATTCTTCTTATTGAACAATTCTTCATCGTAAATTAAACCTTTCCTTTTCATTGATAGTAACAATGCCATCTCTATCGTTTAGAAATGAAGAATGTTGTGGATTATTGGATATTCTTCTACTTATATCCTTGAGGTTGAGGGTTCGAAGTTTTATGTTTATAACACTTGCAATTCTTTGAATGGTGTTGATACGGAATGAAAACACTGCAAAATAGCATCTGATGTGGCAATACTGGCAAATGTACTTACAAATTAAAATGGCCTACCAATTTGGGACGACGTACTAATAAACACTTTACAGTGTACACCCTCGGTGGATTCGTCAAAATAGATGAGCTGTAAAAGTTCAATTCCAAAATATGTCAACAAAGGGGATCCGAAATCGAGTAAAGCTAATCATGTAAAGCTAATTACCCTTGAGGCATGAAACTATGAATTCAACAAGTCAGTGTTTCAAGCATAATGTCGCTAATGTTGAAAACGCTTCTCCAGTACAATGATCCACAATAATCATTTCATTAAGCTAAACCATTTTGCATACCCATCTACATAATGTTTCTCTACAGTCTACACTACATTAGTAAATCAAACTAGAGCCAAGAACATCCCCGAAATCAGTAACAAACGAGGAAAACTCATTATAGAGCAGTCCCCTAAAAATGACAATTTTTATAGTGATACCACCTGTAAATTCTATGCAATCTCTTCTGAACAAGAAATTACACTGAGAACAGATCAAGTGATTCAAGTCTGCGTAAGGTTTAGGCTTGGAATGGCAGTTAGGCAGGAGAAGGGGTGGTGTTCGTCTCTGCAAAAGCAGAACAATACTTATACAATATAGTTTATGTACAAGTAAGGATGAATGCCCTGACACTGATAGGAATGCACATAAACATATCCCATGCTACATTACAGACTGATCAAGCAGCCTATGACTGTACACGTGAACCACAAATTTTCCCTACAATCAATGGTCACTCCAGCACAACAATGCAAACCAACCACATTCACCTTGCTATCCAGGAAGCAGAGCATCAGATAAATGCTTGACAAAAGGTGTTTGGACGCCACTTGACATTTACCACAGTTGCCACTAAGGCACATGCTAATGCAAAAGCTGGAAAGAGAATTTTCCCTCCCATCTGATTTGAAGACACCAGTACCTAAAACAGACAACATCAGCATATTGCATGGTGAACTCCATTTAATTCTCCATGAAGGTTTGCACAGCTGATACTGATAACTAACTCTGTTGCGATTTGGCTACCCGCCGCTTCCATGTACTCTGAATCATAATTAGTAAATTAGAAAACAGAGGAAGGATACAAAATTTTGTAAAGTTTAAAATATATGACTAGTAGAACTACGTACAAGAGGCTTGTCATCAGCATCGTCTGCATCATCAGCATCTGAAGTGTCAGTTGGCGAGGGATTACTCTCAGCCCCTTCTATTTGTTTCTTTTCATCAGACTCTTCTTGTGAGCTCCCACTGAGTTTCTCTATTTGTTCCTCCTCTTCGTGTGACAGTGCCATTTCAGAAGTGTGAGAATCCTGCTGACTAGTCTCCCCAGCGGTTTTTTGTCCACTTGTTGGACAAAGCTTTGTTTCTTCACCAGAGTGATCTGCGTCCTGAACAGCCTCTCTGTCCTCTTCCATTCCTGCATCTTTTGACATTTCTTCCACATCACAAGCCTGGCTCGTAAGCACGTCATCCAACTTCTCCTCATCATCACCTAGAGAAAAGGGGGTGGAAGGGGAGGGGGAGGCGAATGGAACTCGTGGTCAAGATCAAATAGACTAAGGTATCACTAAACTCAGCCATGTTTTAAAACAGAAAAGGAAGGGGTGGAACAGCCCACCAATAAGATTTAGGTATACTAAATTCAAACTTGAATTTTGCACAGAAATTAAACTGGCAGGTTGTACCATGTCTCCAATGTAGCATTTGAAAGTTATAAATTAAGCAAGCTGCAGTAAGATGTATCTTACATTAAGCATGTAGGTAAGATCAATTAAGAAGACTTGAGATGGAATAGTTGCAGTTATCACTAACCAGATTGAGACAGAGGTGACTTGTGATTTAAGAATTAAGATGTAACAATTTTCATAGTGCTTCAGAAATCATGCTTATGATTGGTACCCTCAGAGGGAATTTTCCTAATTAAATTGTGTAATATCACTGTGTTTATTATAAGTTATTGTCCATCACTTTTGCTATGGATGAAGAAGATAAAACGGGCAAAGTCAAAGGTTAGTGCATTACCAGACCGTCCATCACTTCCAGATGAAACAGTTGGTTCGGCATTTGAAATATCAGATCTGTTCTCTACATCCTCTGAGGCGCTAGCAATCTTTCCTTCTAAACCGTCTCTCTGGTCATTTGTTGAAGTTATCTTCTGAGATCTTTTGCCCTTAACACTAGGTTTGCAATTTGTAGGATGATTAAAAGACTAGACAGCAAGTTCAGAGTATGTCGCAATAAGCAGACTATGATTCTCACCTCTTGTCTGATGTCCTCGATCTTGATTTATCTGATTTCTTACTTTTCTTCTTGGGTGACCTATCACAAGCAACACCTTGTTAATTAAAACATAGACCCTTTTACACTTCCTCCGTCCCGATTCAATCAACTAGATTGATGGAAAACCCAAAAACTTCACTTATTTTACAAGTCAATGTCAATGTTTTTTTTACAAACCATTTCCATTTCTCTCCATCAAATCAGCCTTTTTCTCTCTCTACCCTAAAACACCCTCTTGCATTTTCTTCCTCTCGCCTTCACCTCCAATCCTTTTGTGAGCTTAAATTAGGGAGGAAATAATAAAGAAGAATAACTGGGTCAAACCCATGACACAAAGCCTTCTAGATTCAGGCAATAATCAGGATTGCAACACTAATAAATACTTACATAATCTTAGCAGGACTCTTTGTAATATTTGCCTTCTGCAAGTGAAAAGAAGATTAAGGAAAAGTTTTAACTCAAGGCAAGGAGAAGATTTATAGGACTGGAAAATTACAATTGGAAGGAGAGGGAGTGTCATCACAATGAAGCATACCTTCTTAGGCCTGTGGTTACCCTCAACGAGTTCCCAGCGTTCCTTATCTAGACGGAGCACTTCCACATCCCCATCACTATATAACACCTTCACCATGACATAAATATACCAAAACCCACAATGAGAGAAGCATTGCCAATAGATTGTACATAACATAAGATTCTATAAAACTCCGGATGAATGAAGAATTTCAAGGTGAAAAGATGAAGAAAATTCCAGGAAAGCCACAACAGAGAAACACCCCCGCCCCTCGCCCCCCCCCCCCCCCTCCCCCGGCAACCCATACACACAAAAAGATGAGAGAGAGAGAGAGAGACAGCAACAGCTTACCACATGTTTCTTTTTTTCAGGATCATAAGATTTTACCACACCTTCATAAAACCTGTTCAAAAGAGAACATACTGACTTTCAGCCAATTATCCACAGGGGTACCTCAAAAGTCAAAACAAATCCATAATCTTGCCAACATCACATCATCTATGCATCAAAGTACCATTAATTACTTCCTCCGTTTATTTGGTTGCATCACTTTTGTAATTATGGACTCCTAGCCAATTTTTGTAGTAGAGAGTGAGAGAAAAAAATTAAAGAGGTCCATGTGATAGGAGAGAGATAGAGAAAATTTATCAACTAAAATGAAAAGTGATGCATCCAAATTGAACTTTTCATTTTTAGAAAGTGATGCATCTAATGAAAAACAGAGGAAGTATTATAGTTCAAATCAATCTTTAAGTTTTCTATACCAACTAAATGGTCCACCTGTCCAAGGTGACCTTCTCAAAGAACAAAAGAAATTACAAGAAGGAAACTTTGCAATGATAAAGGTTTCATCAAATTCAGTAAAATGACCAGAATAACATAATGACATTTCTGTATCCTAAGCCAGACCGTTAGTCGGGAGTTCTCCATGTGTAACGCCAATGAACTGCCACTGTTAGACTCAGACTGATTTCAACAATCAAATGATAATATTTTGGTGAGCCAAATATGCCTTAATTGTAAGGGAAATAGATTCGTTCCTTGTCCTCAGACAAGAGTCAACTATGGTTGTATACAGCTTTGACCTCATCAATAACTTGACAACACGTCAATTGCTGACCAACAAGGCAGGGTCCATATGCGCAGCTTCCTTTTCCAGTACGCAGTGCGATTGCAAGCAATTTTAGTACACAGAATTCTCTAAACAGTTATAGTTCCTGAAGTTTTTACCATTATCTGTAATTTCGACTAGACACTTACCTCTTATCCATTGGCCACCAAACTTTTATTCTGCAATCAACCAAATCTGTGGTGGGACCATCACCTTCATTTGATGTGCACTGATGAAGATTTAAAAATAAAAATTAAAACAAGTTAGATTATGGAAATTTTCATGCTTAGGACATCAAATTGGTGGGAAGAAAAATGCTCAATCGCAAGTGAAAGCCAAAATTTAGTCGAAAAAGATAAGAGAATATCATGTTTCTACTCAAAAGGCAAAAGAATGGACTTTAAGAGCATGAACAGGAAATGCCCATAAAAGATCCCCTTGGAGAGAAAGTAGTTCCATATTAAATTTTTATAAGCAGAAATAAGCATTTGAAGTTTGGAACCAAGTTCAACCCAAAAGAGAATGAGGAAGCCCCCTTTTATCAAGTGGCAAAATCGTAAATAAATTAACAATTCTGTCCGGTTAGCATGGCATTTTTGTACGAGTAAATAAATCAACTGTGGGCCCATAATTAACAAAAAGTTGTTGAATAAATTACATTTTTTCCATATGAAAAACATAGCTTGAGCCAAGCTCAAGTTCTCCGACGAGCTTCGAGCTCAAGCCAAGCCAAGCCCAGAGACTAAAAGAGGCTTGATCTAGGCTCATTAACACCCCTAGGCAAGACGAATGACACCAAGGAATATATATTATAGAGATCAACAAGAAGATACATGGGGAGATATAAGGGTCATATAGGAAAAAGTAACCTTTGCTAAGCCAAACACACTTCTGCTCTTTCTTTTCTTGCCAGATCCAGCAGAAGACTTAATGACATTATCACTCGTTTCATTTTCTACCAACTTAGGCCTCTGCACAGATAAATAACATGTATGAACACTGGCATTTACATAATAAAGGTATTTAGAGTATTTAAGTTAAATATAATAGCAGGTCACCTTCTGATCAGAGATATCAGATTCTTCAACTTTATGACCCTCTATGTCTTTACCCTGTTTGGTGCTCATGCTGCTACGTTTCCTTTTAATGCTTCGTTTCCTTTTGATCGGTGATGCCACCAAATCTGACTCTCCTGGGTCCTCTTTTTGGATGGAGAAAGAGCCTTTTGAGCTAGCTTTTGCAGAAGGCTTAACAGCACTTCTAAAAGAAGAAAACTTGGAACGACTCCTTGATGATAATGATCTTTGGCGCTTGGGTGCAAGAGTGGTTTTAGTCTCGATTTCCTTCCTTTTCTTACTTGGATTTTCATCATCACTTTCTGGTTTGCAAGTCAAGTGATTGTCGTGGCCATTGCTTGCTTCTATCTTACTTGAGGGCGTCAGGTTATCCAAATTAATTTCCCTCACCACATTCAAAACATCATTTTTCATTTCAGTAGGTGAAGAATGGCCTTTTACCATAGCCTTTGCCTTATTTTTCTGGGATTTGATTTTTTTAATCAGTTTCCCCAGAGGGATCTCGTTTCCTTCTGTTTCAACGTCTTCCAGAATCTCATCCTGTGGAATCTCTATATGGACCTAAAATAAGCAAATTAAGAGGACAAGTGATTAAATACAAAGGTAGAACATAGCATTTGGAACAAATATAGCTTCATAGATACATACAGTTCCATTGACTTCAAGTGTAAGTGATTCAAAGTGGGCCAGCACAGATTCATCAGCCAACCATGTATATACATCAGCAGCCTATTCAGAAAGCAGTCAGTTTTGGTAATCAAGTAACAAGAATTCAGTACAGAGTCAGCATCCAAACTACTAAAACATTGAAGTCAAACTTCTGTAACATATGAATTTGAAAAAATGTACATAAGGACATAATGACAGCAAACTTGGAAGTTAAAATCTTTGCCTAGCAAAAAAAAAAGTATCCCAAGTTCCCATTTAAGCTAAACATCAGATGAAAGCCTTGTCATGCTGAATAAAAGTAGCAACAGTCAATAATTTTCAAAATTATTACCTCGGCATTAGCTTCATCTTTGGTATCACTTAGTTTATACAGCATTGACGGTAAAGAAACCGATTCATCACCACCTTGAAATTCCCCTGAATTTTTAGATAAGCGTTTCATGACCAACAGTCCAATTTCAGAAATTGAATGTGAATTCTGCAATTCAAAAAGTAAAAGAAAAGCCTTAGGTTTCATTACATTTAGGATTGAATCAATGATCTGTTCATGACGAACAGACTAACAGCATATATTGACAATAAAAATGATAATTGTTGCTATTGCTCTTTTATGCAGAAAATATTATCATTTTCCTTCATTTGCTTTTACTTTTCCCCATTTGATTTTAGATACATGAGCAACAAGACAGCAAGCAGGTGGTCAGGAAACATACACAACATCTCTCATTCTCTCCTCACGATTAAGTTCTCCTTTGTGTTTACAAAGTCCAAAGATTTGGCCCACATTTAGGAAAAATGCCAACAATTTCTTCAGACTTTTTAAGAGCTCGTGTTCATCAAAATTTAAGATTTAATAAATCATATTTGCACATGATTTATTAATTGGTTTATCCTATAAAAGTTCGATTTTCACTGGGGCCTGGGAAGAGTAACAGAAAAGCAATAAATCTAAAGGGCGTTTTCCTTTCTACCTTTGACTTCAAGTGATCAACCACGTCCTCTGATTTCTTGATACATTGCAAAATAGATATCACAGCAGGAAAAACATCCTTTCCCTTATCAGCGGTATTAGCTTCAGGAACAATCTCTTCATCACCATGTAAAACCATTGACAGAAACAAATAGAGAACCCTAGTAAAAGAAACAAAATAAATGGGCTTAGCATACATGTTAAATTAAAGGGACAATATAGTAACCTACAGAAAGGAGTATCAAAAGGCTCTACGTGAATCAAAAGCCAGAAAAAGTATTTGACAAATAAATAAACACCAAGTACAATCCTCATCAATTGTAGACAGAGGGTTTCAAGTACAGTAAATTGGAGCACGGTATTCCTGAAAGAAGTTGGCAGCAAACTTTAGTGAAGAAATGCAATGATCGCCTCATAGCATACAACTTAGTTGATTTTTAAAAATCAAATTTACATGTGGGCACATTCAAGAGAAACCAAGTCAACGAATCCAGACTAGGCTGGAAGCACAATTTATGAAGTATTTTAAAATGACGCAGATAGTGTTTACAACTCATGAGCCACTGATGAAAGCACTTAATCTTCTGTTAACAACTGCTAGTTACAAGTGAGGTGTACGAAGGACCTTGCTTTTGAAGCCCTAGAAGAGGTAGAACAAGCCGAACCCATATAGCCAAAAGCCTGAGAAGAAAAGCCCCGCAAAAGATAGGAAAAAAAAGCTCTTCAAAGATTCAAAGTACAATATCAGGATAACTTAATGCAACTAGCCCAAAAGTTACAAAGAATGAACCTGGAATAAGGCCTTCAAGAAGGCCATAAACTGAAAAGGCTTTCTGTATAATCATATTGTGCATTTGAGCTACCTTCTCAATATTTGTAGTAAAAAAAAACAAATAAAAAAAAAAAAAAAAAGAGAGAGAGAGAGAGAGAAAAAAGCAATGCTGCAAGATACTACCAACACAAAACCAAAAAAAAAAAAAAAAAAAAAAAACCCACAGGTCACCTTCTTCACAAACTATCTGGAAGTATCTACAATAAATTCTAGCACAAACCCGTAATTTTTAAAATTAGATGATCAGAATTGTACTGTGTGAATAACACAGAAATATTGTACTAATTACAACCTTACCACATGAAGGTGTTATGATTTTTTTTTAAATATGCTCTCCACACGCACAGCTTTAAAAGTTTAAAGTATAGCAGAAAGAAAGAAACAATTTAAAAATACAATTACTCCTAAATATGTTTACCGATATATAGGTTCCAATGCTTTGACATCCATGGATTTATCAAAACTAGGGCACATCGGGTGATGGGCAAGCGCGTGGACCAGGTAAGGAAGTATATATTCCGGGTAAAGCCCTAGGGAGTTTGTATCAGATTGCATAGAAAGTTGTCGGGCTTTGACCTGACGACACATCTGTATAACTTCACCAAGATTACGTTTGTCCTGCAAGTCAGGTAGCACCAAATTAAAGCTAAGTTGTGATGATGATTTCAGACAAGCTAAGTAGCAATGACAATACATACATTAAAAAACACAATTACAAGTTAGGCCATGTCCTCATCAACTGAATTTTACTGAATTTAAAATTTTCATATAGAAACTGATTTTTACTGATTATTAAAACTGATTTTTGATGATTAAAACTTACTTTTGCTGATTAAAACTGACTTTTATCAATGCAATGCTGTATTAGTTCAATGAAGTTACTTGTTTTCACTATTTTAAAAAAAATGTTTGTTACTGGATAATATTTTGAAAGGTAAAGATAACAAGGCCTTAGTGACTAATACCTCTTCCATTTCAGCATGCTTGGACACGAAAATATCCAACAGAAAAGCACAAGCATATTTTGGATCCAAGATACGATCCTTTATGTACTGATGAACTTTGCTGAGAAACAGTTTCCGAGCTTGACGGAAATTTATCTGTGTAATAATAATGCAAAGATGACAACAGAATTGATTACCTAAAGCCAACAGCCAGCCTACTCACAAAATCTTAAATATTGATCAGAGATTAATTTTTATTGTTTTATATATAAAAGATCTATATTTATCAAAAGCGCCAACCTCAACTGTCCTTAAGGCTAGATGAAAGACATCGGCTGGTATGTTATTTTCCCAAGATCTTGAAAGACGAAGGATGGCTTTGGCAGAAGCAAGCTTCAAGTGAGCCCTATCCACAGAACTGCAATAAAGCACCAATAAATATATAGTTCCAAAGATAACAAGTTCGCAACACAATGTTTGTATAAACAACAAAACAGACAATCTAAAATTTCAAAGTTCCACCATACCTTGATTCTAACTCTTCAGCAAAATCTCCAAAAGACAGCATATTTCTGAGAATCTCTATGAGACTATCAATTCCACCTCTAAGATGAGCATCTTTGACGGGAAGATAGCTCTTAACCAATGTTTTAATACCAAATATCTGCCCAGAAAGATGAAAATTTAACAAATGAATGATAATATATATATATATATATATATATATATATATATCCAAATAAAAAGAAAAAAGAAGTTACTCTAACCTATGACACAGAAACAAAGGGCAAGCATGGTCCACTGTAAATAAGTATGTATATAAAACTCGCAAATCTAAGAGACAAGACTAAAAATTTTCTACTGTAACCAACCTTTAGTAGACAAAGTTCACTCCGATCACGCCAACGTGCTTTTGGTTTGTTCTGTCCTTTCTGGAAGCATGCAGAAGCATGTATGAAAAAATAAAATATACTGTACTCCCAGCAGACCAAGAACAAGGCTTTAAAAGTCCAAAAGATGACAATGAACTTACATTACTGCATTGCAAAATTTTGCTCTTGATGAATTCTACAATTTCACTTTCTCTAGTTTCAAAAACAGCCATAGCAGTCTGTGCTATACAACCCAGTGACTGTAGTACACTAGGCAAATGTGCTTTCTCATCTAACATATCAACCAGCCTCTGCACAACGAATGAGAGAGATTAGCTATCCAGCACCGTAATCCCAATGTCAAGCGCAAAGAGAGACAAATACATTAGTCATGATACAAGGTACACAACAATTTAATACCTTGTAAAGAACAGAGAGTGACCGGAGTCCATCGTCCTTTGTTATCACAGCTAGAGCATGTACAGCATACTTGGCCTGCCTTCGTGTCCCTTCTAAACATAGCTTTTCAAGTATGAGATCCACAGAGCTGCAGACAAGCAACAAACTTTTACAAAAAGATTCACCAGCACATCAGGTGGATCAGAAAACAAGGCGAGAATCAAACCTAGATGAGGACGTTAGCTGTTCCCGTATGGTTCCACCAGCCCTCGCTAAGACATGCAGAATGCCTTCTTTAACTATTTCATTTTCATCTTTAAGGAGATTCAGTAAATCCTCTTCACTGCCAATGAACAACAACGAGCTATAGCTTGCCAGGATCTGGAAAGCAGCAGAAGAAGATAAATATAACACACCCAATACAGCTTTTTAGAGAAGAAGGAACCTCGAGCATGACAAAGATAGACAAAAGAAGCGCACACACACACACACACATATATATATTTGTAATATACTTCCTCCACATACAATCAAGTGAAACATAGCAGATAGCACTGTAGCACGAACAGTTAGGAGTCCCATACTCCCATGTCATGAGGAAAGAGATTGGAGAACGAAAATAAAGCACAGTTTCTAATGGCACTAGCACAGATAATGGTTAGTATAAAGCCAAAAAAAATATACCATACCATTACATAGAGCATGCAATACATCCAATGTTGAAGGATTTTATGTGTTCCTTAGTCCACACAAAAATTACTATCATACACAACAAGCAGTTACTTGGAGAACCAAGGTAACATATGGACATTCTGCTATCAAGATTAATTTAAGCAGATTTTACCCTCAAGCCCACACCCTCAAGCAGCCACCAAATCTTAATAGGATTTTATTTGTATAGCAATACATCATTACAGCCATAAGGGTACAAGGTCTAACATCACAACCCTCCAGTCTCATATAAGGGCAAGAAAGAATCTAACTAGATATAAACATTGATTACCCTCCTCACTGGCCTCTGAGTATGGAAAGGTTCTGCATCACAAAGACAATGGTAATAATTCTTTCAGTACAACATCAGTTCTATTTAACTTAAGATACTCCTCAGACCCAGAATGTAAACATGTCATAACGCAACTTTCTCACTGCTTAAGTATCTCCAGGAGATAAGATAATCATAGTTTCCTTCTTGAGTCATTTCTATTTATTTATCCGCATAGAAATAATCTGTTCAACACCACATTTTAAGAAGATGAAGCATGTGCTCCCTCTGTTGAAAGGTTTGCACAGAGGTTTAGGTAATAGGTTGTAGTTGGCTTATCGGTTATACAATAATAGAAAAGTAGATGTGCTAGAAGATAGTGGACATAAATGAAAAGTGTGGTAATTAAATTGGGATAGAGAGAGTATCAAATAAAGCACTACCTGACAAACCAGTCACATTGTAAGGAACAAAATGCAAATCAGAAAATTTCAAATTTCATCCACGAATACACGCAGCAGAGAAACCTATAAAGGCTCAGAATAAGGAGATCTTACCACCAGCATGTTGACACATGACAAACAATTCTCTGTGCTTCCAGCAGATTTATGAATTGCAAGTTCCAACAGGAATTCTTTGACATGCTCCTTGCTAAAAAGCACATATGAGCACTTCACCGAAAGCACATTCAAGAAATCAAACAGTCGATGTTTTTCACCAAGAATCTTGAGTAGATCATCCTGCAGGATAATAGCACTTAAAAATGAATAAGCTCATTATCAAATTAATAACCAGAATGCCTTTAATGAAACTTCCCCTAATGGCAGAATAAAAAGAGTTTGATATATGCAACATTTACCCCTGTGAGGAAGTGACAGCAAAGAGGTTATTTCCAACTCGATTGATATACACTTCCTCTGCTCTTTAATTGCAACATGGGGTGATGCATGGTTTTTAAGGAGAAATAGAGATAGATACACATAAAAACCAGGACCCATGTAATAAGGAGAGAGATAGAGAGAATTATTAGCCAAAAAAAAAACTCCCTAAAATGGAATACATTGCGACTAAAAAGAACTAAGTATGATTTTTGCAAAAGTGAGACTAATAGAAAGCTAGAGTACTTGGCTGGCAAATCCATTTCCTTTACCACAGGCACAGATTATAAAATATATTCCATGCTTTGAAAATTCCAAACCTTTGTGGCTTTGCACGAATATAAACAATGTTGTCACTACAAAGATTAAATGCTTGTATTTTGGGACGCAAAATGGATTCACAAAACAAAAGGCAGAAGAAATCTATGCAGAATATCAAATTGCAGGCTTTGCAGCAAAGATGATTTCAAAACACTAAACTAAAATTTTCCGAATCTTCTCCCATTGGAGAAAAAGCAACACAGGTTCAGAGTCTCACAGTTTCAATCACATCACAAATCTTGCTATGTGACTTACTGTACATCAACACATACAGCTAAAGGAGATCTAAAACATAGTGTGCAACAGCTTGCAGAAAATAGAATTCACTTGGTAAAACATAACAATAAAGTACATGATATTAGAATACAACTGATAGATACACTCATACAACAACATAACTTCAATTTCCCAAAAAATTATATAAAAATTCTGAAAGTCAACAAACCTAAGCACAAAACACTACATATCAAGCAGATCGACAAAGAACAAAATAAACGGCAGTTAATTGAGAGGAAACCTAAAGCAAAATGAAGTAATACATTAAAAGGTGAACAGACTCAAGCTTACTAAACAAGTAAGATTGACCAATGCAGCCCCAATTACAGTTGAAGATGGCCTTCTTTGAAACAAAAGAGAGAAAGTGGAGTCCAGCGTTAATTTGTTGGTTTTACAAGAACAGAAAATTGAAAGTATTTTATGATTCTTCCCAGTATGAATAGCATTTAAATCACCATATACTCTCATGGAAACTATGATAAAAGTGGTACAGCCATTGCATAGAGGGTAAGGCTACTGTAATTATTAATATCATATAAGTTACTTTTACGAGTTCTGCCATAATCCCAAGCATGTCTAAGTACAGAGAGATCAAGCAGAAAGACTAAAGACAGCAGGATCAAGCAGAAAGACTAATGACAGCAGGATCAACCAGAAAGACTAAAAACGACAAAAACCTCATGATCATAAATACAGAATATACAAGCCATAAAGGCACTGTTAACAACTTTTATGGCCTGGCTAAAAATGAAAACAAACACACAAACACACACACAAAATTAAGCAAAGCAGAAAGCATGCCAGATGGGCTGCTCAACTTCAGCATCCAGGTAAAAGGCCTACAACCTGATTCTTAGACTGTTTACTCATCACACTACCAGCTAATGTTGAATGATGTCTAAGGAATCCCAATGGTCAGAGATCATGATTCATGCATGATGATTAAATAGATTCCAGAGAAAGAAGAAGGCTTTGATCTCATAGAATAAATTTCAAAAAACATTTTCTCATAGCTCACCTGACTGGTACGCGCTTCATGGAAGCTAGTGTTTGGATCAAGTAAGCTAGATAAAATTTTCCAAACGTTAGTGTCTTTTAGCTGATCAAGAGTCAAAAATCCTTCCTCGACCTTCGAAGGATCCACAAAAAACCTCGACATTACCCGGAACAAAAGGATAACTTTTTTTTGATAATCAGTCACATCAGCATCCTGCATTTAAGCAAAGACTAAGAAACAGATTACCCTAACAACATTTTGAGCCATAAGATGAGTATAAACTTCAACATCTGTTTATAATTACAAACCTTGTATGTCTGCTTAAGAGACAGATACTTCTGCATTTCTAGTTGTAACCTACATTAAAAAGTAAAGAATCAAAATCAAACACAACCCAAACGCTTTGTACTGAAAAACCTATAGAGCACACAAACCTAGATGGTAAGCAACATGCAATAAAATGCCTACCTTTGCTTCTGTTCCAATATCTTTTCTAAAGCCTTGACCTCAACTTTGTCCAGTCCTGCAAATATCTGTATCCAATTTCTAACTATATCTTTGACAGAAAACTCAGCTGGAAATAGTGGTCCACATAGAATAGATTCAATTGCATCTGATCTGCAAGCAGATTAAACCAGCTGAGCACATAATAAAATTATACTACGTAGATGAATAAAGGACAACGATTGCAAGAATTTAAGCATGTTGTAGGATTTATTAAAGGAAAATTTTTCTCCTTTATCAGCATTAGGAAACCTGGCGATATACTAATAAAGTGAAAGGCTTTTGATTGCCACACAGGTGACTTCAAAGATACAAAGCACATAACTTTAGGTTTTAACAACGGATGAGAAGTAAAATCAGAAATGTAGAGGACATGAAGTCATAGAAATCAAAGATAGAAACAATTGAATTAAACAAATTAAGGATGCCTCGTTCAAGTCTACAGAAATTGCAAGTGACACCCACTTAATTGTTTGATGCCTAAAACCTATTGGCTCCTTTCCTTTCCTTTCCTACTCCTTACACAAACTACAGACCCAATTGTAAACCAAAGCTTGAGCCTTGAGCTTTTCTAGTATTGTATAATAGGACCGACACTTCCTACTGCATTATTTGGAATCCATAAATCACAGTTCCTGCATCATTAACTCCTTCAGACAGAATATCACCTCACCTGAAAATGACCCAAAATCGTGGATATCTATCATCAAACTTATTTTCCATCTTTCCTTCCATGATTTTTTGGCTTGGAAAATTTTCTCTTAAACAACCTATACAACTAACCATGAACAAAATAGACCACCTTCATGCTGAGGCGCAAGAAGTGGTTCCATTTATTGGTCTAGGCAAGTCAATTTTATTAAGCCACAGTCAAAGCACACCCTTTCGATGCCTGATTAAATTGTAGCATATTTCATGCCATTTAAAAAATTGAAGTCACGAATCTTATATGACTGTATTCATGATCTCTAATACAGTAAGAGGGTAAAAAAACTTAATATTGAAATTCATACATTACTTTCAAAATATGTGATTCTACAGATAATCATTTTGCATGACTGATTATAATGTAATTGGCAATGTGTACCTCACATGGCCTTGGGGTGCCATGCTCTTTGTACAGCAAGTGCATTTTACGGTGGGTTTTGGATTACCATTCTTAGCTTCTAGGATTATTTGGTAAACTTGTATACAGGCTTCAAGCCCTAATGTTAAAATTAACCTTTTTGTTTAAATACACTGTTACTGTATTGCATAGTTTCATAAACAGTAGAATTGAGTTAAATCTTTGGAAATTCAAGGATCTTTCTTGGAATTCTACTTCCTTTATCTTAGCTTAAGTATTACCTTTGAGTAACTTTTCCCTTTTCACTCATTGGTTCAATGTCTTTAAAGTATAATCCCTCATGCATAGCTTTATGATTTTTATCGTGAGTGAGTAATCCCAGCCTTGCACTGAATAGGTTACCCCTATCTTATTCACCTATTAATAGTATTTGTATGCGTTTGCTTATATGGATTAGTGTAGAATCATCACTTCATTAGAATTACTCCCCCCGTCCCTATACGATCGCCCCTTACGCATTTTTTTAATTTGATAACTTTTGGTTGAGTGGAGTTGACAAGGGAACAAAGCCTATTTTAATTGTTGGTTTAATTTATAATTCAGTTGAAAGTATGCAACAATGTGTGATCATCTTTGCTAACTATAACCAAGAGTGAACTAGTCATTGATCCCATTATTGCTTGAAAATCGGATCTGCATTTTCCATTATTGTTCTTTGCACCGTGCACTTGCTGTATAAAACTTGCTAACACTGTTTAAGATTGGAAAATTTTTTATCTGCAGAAATCAAAGCTAAAATGCCATCCCAATTATGAGAGGAAAAGTATTGATAGACAACAATTTTCATAACTAACAATAGCTCCATAAATTATTAATTGATGTTCCTAGCAACTACAACATAATGCTAATTAAACACAACACTGTAGATTTAAATGTTGCTTACCGGAAATCTTTGTCATAGAAACACCTCAAAATCTTTCCAGGTATCCAGTCATATTCATTAGCACATCCTTCTTTGCACCTTAAGCAGTAATGCCTATATGTCTCAGCAAGTCGATCAAGGGTATATTTTTTCACAAGTAACTGCAAAACCAAAAGCTGAAACATTTAGTAGACAATGCATAATCATCAATGAGTAAACGCAGAGATGAGAAATATTACAGATTTGTCACGAAGACGCTCTGCAACTAGTTTGACAGTTTCAACTGGAATGGAATTAAGATTAAAACAGGCGACATCGCACGCCACAGCAACAACTTGCTTCCGCACATTTTCATCATAGTCCAAGAGGCGATCACACAAGGCAGCTGCATAATTTAAAGTATAAATGAACAGAATGTACCTTAATCGTAAGCATTTCATAAAATCATTGGGGCAGATGTTACCAAATATTTGAGGAGCCTCAGGTCTTAAGGGATTTGAAAGGAGACATCTTTTTACATAGTCAAGGGCAGACATCCGAACCTCGACTTCTCTATCTGTTAACCTCTTCAAGAACTCCACAAATACGGATTGAAAAGCCTCAGAGATAGCAGAATCTGGAAGCGCAAAAAGCTCACCCACCAGATCAACTGCTCTAAGACGTGCTTTAGACTGGTCATTCTGTATGTATAAACATACTTAGACAATCATTTCACAGGGTAACAGCCTCACTGGCAACATTGAACAAAATACTGGAGCTTATAGTGTTGGTTAAAAAGGGGTTGCTACACTCAGAAAAGGTAACAAAAGCACGAGACATTAACATTTACGCAAAGGCAGTAACGTCCAAAGTCAATCAGACTCAATTGCTTGAGAAAGTGCAATGAATTACACAAAACTATCAGGAAAAAAAAAATCGCATTTACCAGTAGCTCTCCAGTCAGGTAAGGAACAACTCCCAGCAGAATTTGAGGTGAACAGCGATATAAATTGTAAATAACTTCATGGTAATCAATTTCACTATTCAAGGAATTTTCCCCTGTCATCGAAGATATGAGAAATTGCTTCACATAAGGTTCAAGTTTAGTAGCAAAATGTTGAATCACGTTCATGGCAAGTTTCCTCCCAGCATCTGTAACATCCTGAACCACCAAAACATACCACCCACAGCAATTTTTTTAAAACTACTACACAAGGAAAAGTGTATTTTCTGCCTGCAAATTATAAATATAGAGAAAACATTCCCACCTTTTTATTTTGTCCCAGTGCAGAGAGCAAAATAAGCAGCAGATCTTCATGGATATCCTCACTTTCATCTAGAAGAACATACAAAATTGTTTTCATTGATGACAGAACATTTTCTGGGTGCTCATCCCTGCACACAAAACCATATCAAATTACAGACACAATCTTTACAGTGACTGACAACTAATTGGAGTATCTCCTTCCACATCATTCTTGATGCTCAATAAGGCTTATATGACAACATTTAAGTTTTAATATAGATATAAAAAATAAAAATAAAAATACCCCAGAAGTGACAAACTTCAGAGAGAATATTTCATTTAGTGCCCAGCATGATAAAACAAAGACCAGTAGAAGTTTACACCGCAAGTCAAATATGTCTAATGATAATATCTATTCTGATTAATCACCAAACTAAACATACCTTGCAGCAGAAAGAAACGTCCTGAAAAGATCGTTTACAAGATCATCGCATTCAAGATCTAACATCACAACACATGATCTATATCTGGCAAGGGTCTCCAAAATGATAACCCTCCTTCCAAATGATGGTCCACTTGTCTCACTTAGTCCGCTAAAAGTGCCAACTATTAAACCAAAAACATCCTACAGAATCAAAAGGAGCAGATAGATAGAGTTAGATCTAGCAAGGAAAAATAAACAATGAACTTTAATATATCATACCTTCAGAATTTCATCACTATAAGGTGCTTCAGGCGCAGTAATACGAGTGATCTCACAAAGACAAGAGGCAACTAGGAGTTTAACATCCTTATCTTGGTGTTTTAGCAGCTCTGGTCTGACAATGGCCTTCAGGAAGGGTTGCATTGACTCCAATATTGGAGCTGGCGGAGATTGCTCCAAATCAGAGAGGATCGTAATGGCTTGCTGAGAAGAAAAAAACATATTGAATTACCAGGCATCAACAAAAACTTAGCTCACAGGAAAAAATATATATATATAAGAACCAACACACACAAGAAACAAACAACCATTACACATCTGAAGACATGCAGTAATGCTATCAAGACAGCATGTCAGCAATATAAAGAGCTAAGTTTGATCCTATGTATAATCAGAGATTAGAAAGCAATTTGCATTTACCAACAATGAAACAAGAGAAGATAGTAGAATTCTATCAAACTAAGAACACATACCATAAAAGACAATGTGTCCAAATAAATTGCGGATAAATCTAATAAGTCGCCATCATCACAGCCTAAACAAATAGACAAACACCTCCTCTGTTTTATAAAGTTGGTAACACTTTCAAATGACAATTAAAATAAGCGAATATGAATTTAATGCTTTGGCTATTGCTCCTACTGTCTGATTTTACATGCAAAAAGAGTGACAAGTAGACAGGGATAAGCGGATGAATTGGGTATGGGCCCCAAATTCAAAGAAAAAGTAGTCGGGAAAAATAGAGAGAAAACTCTTCCCGTAAAGGGCAAGGAACATTTAATTTGAAGTATCCAATGAGGAACAAGTAATTTGGGACAAAGGGAGAATATTAAGCACTCATGTGCTCACCTAGGAAGCACAGACACGCCATTTGGCAGGCGTGTCCATGTCAAAACGCGTGTCGGACGCAGGCACGCGTGGGACATGGGGGGATACGTGTTCGACACGCGAAAAAACCGTATCTAATTTTTTTTTTTTTTTTTGGTATGTGGACACGGACCGTGTCTTAGGGTGACACGGCCCATTTCTTAATTGGACACGCCGACTCATCAAAACTTAGCCCAATTCTACAATTTCAACACAAACTCTCAGCCCCTCAAACCCTAACCACCCACAGACCACTGCCTGCCCACCGACCGCCAACAACCACCTATCAAATGGTGGCGAAGTAGCCATCGGTACCCTACAAGTCTGCAACTAGAACATGCTGCTGCAAACTGCGACTCTGTAGAACACCACTTGGGCGATTTCGTGGATTCTTGCTTGAACCTTCAATTTAAAATCAATTTGGGGCTAGTAGCTTGTTGCGAGGTTGTTAGGAGAATTCGGGATAGCATTGTTGTTGTAGGTGGCCGTTTCTGGTTTCGACGATGAGGAGGGTGTCGAGCATTGTTGTTGGTGTCGTAAGGAGCGATTGAGAGGGGAATTGGGCGGTCTTGTGGGTGTTGTTGTTGGCGTGGAAAGGAGCGATTGTGGAAGGCGGAGCTGGTGGTAGTGGAGTTGTTTGGTTGTTGTTGACTTGGTGCTGTTGTTGTGTTGACTGTTGTTGTGAGGTGGAGGTGAGGGTAGGTTGTGTTGTGGTGTATGATAAGTGGAGGTTGGTGAGGTTAAAAGGTTAATGAGTGAAGGGTAATTGGTCCTTTGGTAGTGCGGCAGGGAGTTGTTATTTTTTATTAAGTGAGCTATTTTGATTTGTGTTTCAATACACAACACTTGGAACATCCGCAATACTTGGAAATGAAATTTTTGTGGTGAAATTTAAAATGGTTCATACACTAGAGTGAAAGCTTATTTGCTATGATTTATTTGTAGGAATTTATTTGATTTCTTGATTTGTACGCGACAATGCTCATAACACTTTGTTTACGTGTGTTTAAACAAAATGGTTTGTTTTAAGGTCAATTATTGAGTATTTCATTGAATAGATTGTCAAATTCTCGTTTTTTTTTATATATTATATGCTTTGTAATTCGCCGTACCCGTGTCCCCGATTTTAGGATTGTCGTTTTTCCGCGTGCGTTACGTACCCGTATCCGTGTCCGTATTTGTATTGGTGCATCCTAGGTGCTCACATATGATATATATATGGTTTATGTTTTGAGGCATTCTTAATTGTATTTTGACACAGCTCAAAACACAATATATCTCTTCCAACAGTTCTAAGTGACAATATTATTAGAAAAATCACGAGCATTCCACAAATTAATGTCACATATTAGACCCTTCTATGTCAAACTCATAATTGTCCACAAGATTGCAAGGCCTCGGCCTTTTATATTAAGGGAATATTAAGGGATAGAAACTGGCAAGGAAATATTACTCCAACCAATCAAAATCAAACTTAGACATGAAGTGCTCTCCATGTAATATTTGAAGTGAAGATCAACTACGAAGGTTTAATTCTACGCATCTAAGGATGCTAAATGAATCAAGTGGGTTCCTCTAAAGTAAACTAAGGAGTCGTTTGGTTGGGGATATTCATAAGAGGGAAAGCGAATCAACTGCCCTTATTCCCTTTGATGTTATTTGTTAGGCATTTTTTTTTCCATTCCCTTTACCTTCCCGTTCCCCCAAAGTCTTCCGAATTAATTCCCCACCCCCTTAGGTTTTTCCATTCCCTTTCCTTAGCCACCGCTACACCACCATATTCACACCAACCACCACCCTCCTACCTTACCCCCACCACCTGCCACCTTGCCACCCTTCCCTTCCCGAAAAGTTTCCCCACCTCCACAAAACACTAGAATCCCCTCCCCGAGGGGGGAAACTTTTCGAGAAAGGGGGGGCTTTTCGAGGGGGTGGTAAAGGGCGGCGAGGTCTTGGGGAGGTGCGGCGAGGGGTGGCAAGGGAGGCTGGGTGGTAGCTAGATAAGGTAGGACAGTGAAGGAAAGAGGTGGTTGTATGGTTGTTGTGTGGTGGTGGTATGGTGGTTTGTTTTCCTTTGTTTATTTAAAACAAACAACATAGTAAATCTAAAGGTTTTCCATTCCATTCACCTTGTTTCCCTTTGTTGAGCTCATTTCCTTCCCCTTAGTTGAACCAAACGGCCCCTAAATGTGATTACAATTAACTTTCTCCACATTTCCTAGTCCATGGAAAGAGAAGCAAATTGTTAGATTCATAGATTAAGCTGATATTCATCAGAAAGATGTGAATTGTTGGCTTTGTGTTAATAGAAGCACCTTTGTATAAGAGTTAATGAGCTTGTTTTCCCTTGCAAAGCGTCATGGTCCGAGTGTTTTGACAACGGATTCGTATGGCACTCTTGTCTATTTGGCAGGAGAGTCATTAGGCTTTCTTGTTGTCCTATGGGTAATTTTTGTTTGGGGTTTATTAAGCTCACATGTACATATGGCTAGAAAAGAAGAAAAGATTGTATTGGTAAAGTGAGAATGCATATTCCTTTGACAATCACAATGTACGAAAAGTACGCCTTTTGAGGCACATGGTAATAGGGATTAAGTGCTTTTTTTTTTTGGTCTAGGCAAGTCGATTTAAAAAAGGCGAACAACTTCTTTTTCACTGATACAATTACAATAATTGGTATAAGTAGGATTATTCACTACTCTAAGACCGGAAATGTGAAATTTCAAGACAGATATCGGACCGATTACGCTAGAACCAAACTTTTTCTATACTATAACATTTTAAAGTAATATCAAAAGAAAGAAAAATTAAAGTAATATCAAAAGAAAAATTAAAACCATTAGTTCAATGCCTTTTTTAGGCATATCATAAATTAGCTCAAATTACATTCTTCCCAAACATATTGAATGCGAAAGTTAAATCATTTTGGAGGTTTTTTAAGAATAATTCTGCATAATAATCAAAGACCAGAAAACTATTTCTTCTACTACACCGGGTTTTTTCAGTCCTGTCTTAACACACCTGCATATAAGCCCTATATTTAATAAAATCCCTTACCATCTAAATTAATACACCCTCTGTTTTTCTTAGTTGACTAACCTTGTATATCTAAACTATTCACATACTTCCTATGACCATCTTTTGTGACCTTTAAGTAAGGAAAAGTATAGTCATGGGGCATCTTATTAAATTCGTCTCGATCAACTTTTTATAATTTTACTTAAGAATCAAGTATATTAATGGTCAAAGTTCTTGCATTGCAAAGCGTAAAAGTCAACTTAGGAATAGAAACAAAGGAAGTAGTGGTGTACAGTGCTGATTTACAAATTTTGCCTTTAGAAGGCAACAAACAGAATTCCAATTCTTCTTTCTGTGCAAAGTTTATTTGAGCTGGAAAATGCTAATGTCTCAATTATTAATGGAAACAGCAGCATACATTTGGAAGGGCGAGATGCATATGTGAATGTTATTATTGTTGTTTAAATATGGTATGGATGTAACAGTAAAGTTTAAAAAAAACAATATAAACAAGCATCACTAGCTCTTCTACTACAAGCAATTTCATAATTTCATTTTTCCTAAAGTATATAGATATTAACTTCTCCAGACCAATGTTCAGATTCCAACTTGTACAAATGTATTCTGCTCATGGCAAAATATGGACTATGGAAAATGTCTTATCAATTAATTTTTGCTAAAACCTCACAATCCACCAAGTTGACAGAGGTATTCAAAGTAGCCTTAGTATTATTAAAATATTAACTCAGGACTAACTTCATTGATTCAAGTTCACCCCATATGGGAATTAACTGGCTTCTAAATCTACTTCTATGCCCCTTATAGCCTTGCCAAAGCGCTATCCGATGAATTGCCTAAACTTCCAAAACAATATCAATTTGTTTCCAATCTTTAGAAGCTAATAAGCACTTGATGCGTAATAAGTTGGGTTATTACGAAGGTCTTTGTTAACTACACATCAAGATACACAATCTCATGAACAACGTTCAAATCTTTTTCAAACAAAGTGTTTGGTTAACGATAAGCTTTGTTCTTTAATTATTGATTCGGGGTCGTGTACGAATGCTTGTGCCAAAACCATGGCTACCTCATTGAAGCTACCTTCCCGTGACCATCCTCACCCTTATAAATTGAGTTGGCTCAATGATGATAGTGGATTTTGGGTTAAAAACCAAGCTTTGGTACCTTTTCGTATAGGAGGTTACCAAGATCAAATTTGGTGTGACTCTATTCCCATGACCGCGTGTGATGTTCTCCTTGGACGACCTTGGCAATCGGATAGAGATGTGCTCCACCATGGCAAGTCTAATGTTTATTTTGTTTTAATTGGGAAAGAAAGGATCGGTTTGACTCCAATGCCACCTAAGCATGTGTCACCTCCAAAGAAGCTAGTCATGCGTGTTTTAGTTCTTGTAGGGATGAAATCCTGGACTCTTCTATGACTAAGAAGGATCGACACGATCAAGTGTTGCATATAAGACGAGGAACAAAGTTGGACAAGGGCAATATGGTTTGGTTGTCACTTGTTGCACAAAAACTACATGTTGATCACAAGAATAATGAGCCATTAGATGAAGGACCTTTCGAAATTATAGAGAAAATAGGTTATGAAACCTTTAAGGGAAATTCTCTTTGGTAACACTATACTATTTAATATTCTCAGTGATGAATTGTGAAAAATCTTATTCTCTTTGGTAAACTTGAACTATTGATTACCATTAATAAGTGTTATTTTAATAAAAATCCTTAACTATAGTTAGTTTTTTATTTTTTTTTAATAATTAAATTATTATAAAAATATTTTTAAAAAAAAAAAAAAAAAAAAACCAAACCCCTCCCCCACCCAACCTAGCCGCCAGCAGCCCCTCCCCATGCCGGCGGCCCGGCCTTGGCCGGCAACGCCCGACCTCCCCCACCCCTGGCCGGCAACACCCATTTCCCCCACCCAACGCCACGACATCCCACTTCTCCCATTCCCCCACCCCGATTCTTGTTCTTGTATGCTTCCCTCAATGTCGATTTCTGCTTTTGTGACATCACTATCAAAACTTGGGCAAAATCCCCAATTACACCACCTTACTGCAAAATCCCCCCAAAAAAAACCAATTAATTCAATCAAATCATCCAAAAACCTTAAAATTAAAAACCCTAGAAAATGGAAATCGAAATTTGCTCAACCATGAGATCCTTAAGCTGATTCAACAAATCAGCCTTAGGCTTTTGCATCAAACTCATGGGGTTTGATTTTTGCTGCAAAAATTCACACAAATATTGTAAATTGAATCAAAAACCGCAGTTTGAAGACATTAAGAAAGCTTGATTTATCGAAATTGGAGGAGATAGTAAGTGAGCGTCGCCCATCGGGTGGGGAGCTGGGCGTCGCTGGTCGAGATGGGGAAAGAGAGGAGGTGGGGGCGGAGGAGGCTGGGCGTCACCGACTGGGGTTGGGGGAGGTTGGGCGTCGCGGGGGGTAATGGAGGTCGGCGCACCGACGAAGGTGAGGCTGGGCGCCAGCGTGGGTCAGGGTGGGGGAGAGGTAGCTGGGTGTTGGGAAATGGGTTACTTCTTTTTAAAAAAAAAATATTTCTAAAATAAATGTAAAAAAAAATAAAAAAATAAAAAAAAAAAAAAAAAAACTAACTATAGTTACATATTTAGTTATAATTTATCGTGAATGTTATAGTTGACTTATAATAAAAAATTTAGGTTGACCAAAGATAATAAGATTTTTCGCAATTCACCACTAAGAAAATTAAAAAGTATAGTGTTACCAAAGAGAATTTCCCTTTTAAGTACTTCTTGGTAATGGTGTTTGTACGACCATATCTTCCTCCGATTTGGTGCCTTGCTTTGAAGATGGGAACTTGAGGACAAGCTCGTTTCAAAGAAAGGGGGAATGATGCGTAGTAAGTTGGAGTTATTCATAGTTGTTAATTTTAGAAGTTTGCCCAAGTTTTTACTTCTCACTTGGGAAGGTTTTTCTTGTTTTAGGCTTAGGATATAATTTTTGTTAGTTGTCATGAGTTTTATCTTTTAGGTTGTTACCTTAGGATAGAGTTCTTTTTAAGAGTTTTTACTAGGATAGAATTATAATTAAGCTAGGATATTTTTTTAGATTTTATTAGCTTATTTATAGTCGAAGTTAGTATTCAGTTTATTCATTAGAGATTAATAAAATTTCGATTTATTGAGAATTATTGTTAGTCGAGAAGACGAGCAATTAAGACGAGAAAGAAAAAATCCTAGTTGAGTATTAATCCGAGAAAGATTAATAATCTTCATATATTCCGTTACTTACAAATCAAACACATAGCCACCAAAATTACAAGTTTAAGGCCAAATATTTAATACTCACGCAAGAAACATAGAGCACTATCTTCGTTAAATAAAATATTCGCCTTTCTTGCTTAAAGAAATGCATCAGCACTAATATGGTAAGTGTTTACAGCTAAAGGCTAGAACTTTCCTGTTATCACTACAGGACTACAGCATCACTTATTCACTTACATAATTCTAAGATTTCTTTCCTAAAACTTAACAAATTATAGGCAGTTCGCACTTCTTTTCCAGCTTCGTTCCCTACACAATCCTATGGTTGAGTGTCTATGTTGTTCAGTACAACATTAATCAATGTACTAAAGAAATTGGCATTAGTTTGGCTAGATTCCTTAATTTAGTAAAGCTAAATTCATGCATGTTCTCGTAATTGCAACCCGGAAAATGAAATCGACAAATTTGGTCGGAGCTCTAACCTAAAAAAAACCCTCGAGGGCGGCGAATCGACAGAAGAAAGACTGGAAACCTAAGATGAACTAGTAATGCAGGGTAAATAACAACATTGAGCACAAAATCCCAGGAAACCCCAAAATTGAAAAAAATTAACAAGCAAAATTGAAGAAAGGGAGCTGAAATCGAAGGAAAATACAAACCTTGAAAAGCTTGAGCAGAGAATCTTTGGAAGAAGGAGGAGTTTCTAACTTGGATCCCAAGTCTTTGAGCTGCTGTTGCAGCAATTTGTCACCCATTTTTCGTAGCTAATTTCTGAATCTCTCTCTTAAATTCTGGAAATTTGGGGTGTTTCTTCTTCTTCTTCTTCCTCAAACCTCAAGGGTTTGGGTCTGGGTTTGGTTCCGATTTCGAACAAATCTCTATCTTTCTCTCTCCTATTTCGATTTTTTAATTGTGTGCGTAAAACTTAACACAAGTTAAGGTTACAAATTGAAGAGGGAGAGGGAGGACTCACTGTGACTCACTGCGCTTAGCTCTTGACTTTCGTTGTAATGCCGTCTTCTATCTTTTTTCACCTTTTATTATCTCTCTCTTCTTTCTTACCCACTTGCTTCTCTCTTCCTTTTTTTTCCAACTTTGCCCCTTTTATCTTTTATTTCTTACTTTTTTCCAACTTTGCCCCTTTTATCTTTTATTTCTTACTTTTTTCCAACTTTGCCACTTTCTTATTTTTATAAATTTTTTATTTTTTTGGTAAAAAGGGAAGAGAAGCTAGGGTAATCTCAAAGTATAAACTCTTAAATAAATCTGGTTCACATTAATTTCTTGTAAACCACAAATATTAGAAACATTAATGTCGTTTTATTAATTAAAAATAAAAAGGTCACTATGTTAAATATTGGTTATTATTGTTAAAATAAGGGTCATTGTGTTATTATAAAAGTCATAAGAGGTTTTTTTTTGTTATATGAAAATTTTAATATACCGATCAAAATGAATAAAAAGGTTTTTTTTTGGTCTCATGTCAAAAGGGATGGCAAAATTGTAGCCCATCATCTTGCTAAGCTAATGTCATTTGGTGTTAAACAACTATGAGTGAATCATTGTCTTGTGATGATCTCCCCTTATGTACTTTCGGGCAAATTGTCCATTAATTAAAAGCATTAGTTATGCTTTCCTCAAAAAAAAAAAAATCAACATAACGTCGTATTTCAGATGTACAATAATATATGTTAAAATTAAGGTTACTATGTTAAAATTAAGGTCACTATGTTCAATATAATGTCAATTTCTCATGTACAGAGTTCATGTCCACAATGATATTATTGTGAACCAAGGGCACACAAGTTTTTCCATCCTAATGTAGCATCGAAAAATTGATGTCACTCGAATCCATGAACAGTGGATGATGGTTAATTTAGTTGGTTTATTCTTAGTATTCAAAACATACGATTAGCATAAAGAATTTGAAAATAAATCATACTTTATCGTTTAATAAGCTATTTTTTATTGCTAATAATTTGTAACCCTGTTATAAAAAAATTATGAAAATTTCATATTTAAAAAATAATTTACCTCATGGATATAGGTTTTAAGTTTAATCAAATAAGACAATTAGCTCAGATTAAATCACTAGAAATAAATTCAAATAAGATTAGATTATATAAGAAAAAAAATAAGGTAAGCAATGGAATGATTGTCCTACTTAATTATCTATTGATTTAATCATTTTTTGATTTAGTTTGTAGTTGAATCTTTCTTCGTATGCAAGAAAAGATGTCTTATTGACAAGCTAAACTCGTATCACCTAATCAAAAGTAATTCCTAAAACCACTAACTAAAATAGATAGGGAAGTAGGGTCGAATCCACAGGGAAACAATGTTCTTTTATTCCTAATAAATTATTATAATCTAAATTATTAAGTAACAAGTATGATTTTATGTAAATTAATCTAAGGGAACTAATTAAACTAAGCAAATAAGATTAAGAGATTATCAAAATAATAAAAGCCTAGGGCATAGGTTTACCAATAAATAATATTTCGGGATGAAAGACAACAATCAATTATCAATGCATAAATTAACCAGATTATAAAGGGCTTTCGCTACGTATTACAATCACAGAATTAACTTAGCGGTATTAAATCGCATCTCTCGAATCTTGACTTAACCATTTATAAATTAACCTGCCTATTGAAACTAAGCCTAAACATCAATTCTCATCTCTCGAATCAATATTGCGTAACTCATACAATTAAACCAGCACTAATCTAATTGCATAACATTATAACAATCAATAGAAAATTAACCCAACATTAGCAATCAACAATAATAATTCATCCCTTCATATTATTCATGGGTCCCCAAGAACCCTAGTATTAAACTACTCGCACATAATTAAAATCAAACTAATCAAGCAATTAAAGGAAGCGTAATAAAAGCAATAATTAAAATAAGAAGAATAATAGTATTAAAATAAATAATAAAACTTCATATGATATGAAAGTAGAAAAGAAAACTAAACTAAACTAAACTAAAAGAAAAGACAACTAAAAAAAAACTACCTACGTACTACTGCTACTACCCCCTTTATGAGAAAGTAAAAGGAATTTTTTCCAACTCAACTTCTAACCCCACTAAAAACTATCCCATTAGCTAAAAACAAATCCTTGAAAGCGTGTAAATAAGGCTTAATATCAGCCAATTAACCGCCTCACAAACTAAAGCTATTGGGCTTGTTTTGCAACACGGCCCAACCGAATCAAAGTAGCAGCAATAATCACTCGCCCGGTCGGGCAATGGGCTGCCCGGTCGGGCCCGATATCCTCACGCCCAGCAATTGACTTCGTTTGGTATTGGGCTTCTTCTTGTTTTGGGCTCAAAATCCTTAACTTGCTTGCTCATTACTTGGTCCGAAATATTAATTTGGACCTCTTTACAAATTGAGCCCTTAATCACCGAACCAATTTTCTTTATTCAATATTGGGCAAATAAATATACGATCATAAAATACGGTCAAACTCTAATATCTTTGTAGTGACTCAATAAGCTCGAATACCAACTCTACAAAAACACTAGAAAACGTATATTAGTAATAAAAATAGCTCTGTAGAGCTCAAATAAGCACAAATATGACTGTGAGACGGGGAATAAAAATATATATAAAATAAACTCATCACTTATTTTACTACAAGATTTTTTTATTTGACTACATACCTATACAATTATTTCATGCCTACACACTTAATAAATAAATAGGCATTTTTCTTGAGAGAATTTATAATATTTACATTAAAATTGATAAAATTCAATTTCATATCTATGTGGATTTGAGTCGTAATTGTGTGTATTTGTCTAACAATGGACAACATATATATACACATTTAGTAGTTTTATTCAAAACCTAACAAATGAAATTGGGGCAAAGGAATACTCAAGTATAAAATATATATATGATCAAATGACCAGATAAGCAATCTAAAGGGGTTCATTAGAGGAACTTGTGATAGAAGAAAGGGGAAAGGAAATTATAATATTGTCAGCCAAATATATGTAACTATTAAAATACATATAGAGGTAATATTTGTCTTTTTCATTTATTGAAATCTCAATATATTGTTTGTTCTATGGAAATAAGATCTTAAATTTGTATATTATGATCTTGAACAAGGTTCCTTCAAACTCAAGTCTTTTAGGATTATAATCAAGGCACAAATATCTAAATTCTTGTGTGCAATTCATTGTAATATAATCCAATACCTTGTAATTTTAATAGTTAAATAGCATAAGTGTTGTTTGGGTCCAATTTCTCCTCTATTGGGCCTAGTCTACAAATGACATAATTCAAAGCCCAAAAGCAAGGTTCAACCTTCCAGCCCAAATGCCAAGTCAGTCAACGGTTTGGTCAACGTGGCAAGCCCACTTGACTTCAAGGGCCCAAGTCCTCTAATTGAGCAAAGGTATAAAAGCCATTACTCATATCATTTTACTTTCATTCACAATCATCCTCAAGCACAAAATCTCTTGCATAACTCATTCTCTCTACATTGTACTAACTTCGGCATTGGAGGGGCCTTCCTCGGCACAACCCTCGAGGCTAGTTTACGTGTGTTTGCTGTGCAGGAAATCCTTGGCCCAATAATCACTTGAACCAAGGTTCGTCTTCTCCTACGAAAGGACCTGCCGAAGGTCCCATTGTTTTCATCCGAAACAATTTGGCACCGTCTGTGGGGAAGATACAAAAATTTAAGCCAAAAAATCTAACCGGCCTTAGTAGAAACATGGCTAAGAGTGGCAAGAGCACCAAGAGTGCTAAGAAGAATGGTCACACCTCTTCAAAGAGGAACAAAGACCTGATCACGGTGAGAAAAACTCAACCGATTTCGCCATCACCGGAACCAGTTTCATCTTCTTCCAAAGCTCCCCATTCTCCGGAAGGGGACGCTTGGAAAGGCTCTCCATCCCACTACTCGCCAGCCGACAAGTTCGCTTAGGCCGAGTGGGTTTAATGCGAGAAGTCCTCCACCGCAAAGTCTACATTCTCGGTCCCAGCCGAAAGAAACCCCTCCATCGGGGCCCTCTACGGAGGAAGTGGCAAGGGCCGTAGCAGTCTGTATGGAGTTCCTCAAAGCCCAAGGAGGTCAACTCCCACTAACGCCCCACGAGTCTTCATCTCTTCACCCGAGACGCCTGAGAAGGAGAATCGCTCAAGAGGATGATGGACAAGTTCCACCCTACAAGGAGCTTGGGGAGAAGTGGCAAGAGGACACATGGAGAATCGAGAGGGAAAGGAAAAAGAACCCTCAATTCTTTCACCACTTCGAAACTCGGGACTCCATGAGTTTCTGGAGCAGCAATACCACCTCTGCGTGTAAAGAGTCTACTCGTCGAAGCGTCTATGAACGCTTAGGCTCAAGAGAGGTAGACGTGCGTATCCATCTCACCTTCCCCGAAGGAACCGGGCCATACCCTGAATTGTCTTGGCCAGGGACGAAAACCACTTCCACCTCTTTAAGAGGGAGAAGCGAGGTCCCTTCGGCCAAGCCAAAAGGGATAGCCATAATGGTTCCTACAAGCTCGCCCTTCCAAAGTTGGATATTGGAAGAGCATGTGCCGACAGTAAAAATACCATCGCACATTACTTACGATGGTACCTCGGACCCGAAAGAGCACATTGCCTCTTACGAGGGGCACATTTATCTTAACCCCATGTCCGAGGCTACCTGGTGTAAATATTTTCCAACCACCCTCAAAGCCGTTGCATAATCGTGGATCTCCAAGGGGGTGAAAGAAGGCTCTATAACAGGTTGGAATGACCTTGCCAACAAGTTCAATAGTAAGTTTTCTACGGCGAATCGCCGAGAGAAAACGACTGCAGAGTTGATGAGTCTGCAGCAAACGGAGGGCGAAAGCCTCCGAGATTACTTGACTCACTTCAGCAACGAGTCATCTAGAATCACGAGTCTGGACCAAGGCCTTGCCGTATTTGCGCTGCGGAATGGCCTATAAGCTGGAAAATTCCTAGACTTCATGGTCATGCATCCCCCGCAGACCTTGGAGGAAGCTTTGGATGCCTCAGATAAGTTTATTCGAAACGAAGAATGGAATAAAGCAA